GCTGTGATATGCCCGTAGGTAAGGGGGTGTGGCCTCACCTGGCATTGGCTGCGCGCTTCTGTCTGTTAGCCAGACTTGGTGCAATTGGATGCTTCTGCAGAGGTCAGGTACGGATGCCCTTCCCATAGGTGGATCTCGAAACGAGATGATGAAAGAGAACATCTGTCGTTCAAGACGTTCAATGTCGTTCAACATCTGTCGTTGCTTCAGTGAAGCGCATAGGGGATTTATAAGCGCTCTCAGTAAGCGCAATGTGTATGGAATTTGGGCCAAATGACTCGAAAGTCATACTCAAACCAAGACACGGATACGTGCCTAAATCCCTCAACACACCGTTCAGGGCTCAGGTTATTTCCCTGTCTGCCCTGCCGGTTTACAACGAGGAAAAGGACGCGAGCTTCCTTTGCCCAGTCAGGGCATTAAGAGCTTATGTGTCTCGCTCGTCTGTTTTCAGACAGACTGAGCAGCTTCTCATTTCGTTCAGCGGACGTGCTAAGAGACTAGCCGCATCGAAACAGAGCCTATCCAGATGGATAGTTGATGCCATAGCGCTGGCATACACGTCTAAAGGCTTGAAGTGTCCTTTTGGTGTTAGAGCACACTCCACAAGAGGCATGGCCTCGTCGTGGGCTTGGTCTAGCAGGATTACCTTGCAGGATATCTGTATGGCGGCAGGCTGGGCCTCCCCGTCTACATTTATAAGGTTTTATAACCTAGAGGTTCCCGCCTTACAGGCTAAACTACTTTCGGTCTAAAAATCAGTATTGTCTGCCCCGTTGCTTCGGCTCAGAATACTACAACCGCTTGAGCACCGCTCGCTGATCGATAAAATAACTCCATGGGCAAAAGTAAGACCCATACCGTTACCCAGTTCAGGCCGAACATTTTCACCCTGACTGTGTGGAACACTGTTGATTAGTTCCCTTAGGATGCTAACTTATTGGGAATGACGCTTCTAGCCTCTCTTCTCAGACTCTTTGTGAGTCCCTGGTGATTATGCACTATATGAACCCCGGGCACATGCCCTTGGGACTTTGGTGTTGGATCCCAGCACGCACAACGTTTTACACTGTGTTCCTCTAGCGTAAGATATTGCGCAGTACGAGAGAACCTCTCGTAAGAGAACGTACTCGGTTACTAACGTAACCTCGGTTCTCTCTAGAAGAGGGAACGAGTACTGCGTATCTTTGCCGTGCCCAGTGCCGCTGCTAGCCATTTTGGTGCCCTAAGCATAATTCCTTTATGATGGCCCCCCCCCCCCCCCCCCCCCTCTCCCTCCCTCCCTCCCTCCCTCCTAAAAAAAACATTTTCATTTAGGATTTTCATTTAGGGGGGCTAAGCCCCCAATGAGGGTATGATTTATAAAAAAAATTAAAAGCTAAAAAGTAACACTTTAGATTAGGGTCTAATGCTTACTATTAACTAGTTTCATTACCATGCAATGGCATGGTTTTATAATCACTGGGATCCCGAATTTGAGGCAGGTTAGTTAGGGGTGTTCGGGGGAAATTTTTGGATTTTTCTGAACTACAGATGTGCATTTTAAGATGTTGTGAAGGCAAAAAAAAAAAAAAAAAAAATTCGATAACAACAGCTTTAAAACCATGTCAGTGGGCAGCTGATTATTTTTCTCTCCTCATCAGCATCACACTCTTTTTCTCTTTGTTTATATCTTGCCCTGTCTCTTCCTCTCCTAAAATTGGCTTTTTTAATTTACTAAAGGTTACAATTTGTATTTTATTCTCAATATGTACACATTCATTATAAATCCTGTGCCTAACATGATGAAAACGGCTTTGTTCATGTTTCTTGTCCCCTCACAATGACAGTAGCCTAAACTATTACACTAGGCTACATGTAGGCCTATTTTCAGTTCAAAATGGCGAAATTAGACAAAACTATATTAGTTTGCCTAATTATTTTTTGTCATTCGTTTAACATTTATGACCTAAAAAAAACTGTCAAATAAAGTTAAGTTTAGCTACTTACATCTTATCTCGCACTTGACCGTACACTGAAGCGTCGAGTTGCACTGTTAAAATTCGCGCTCAGCGTCTGTGAACATAAAGCCCGCCTACTTTGATTTGATTGGTCATCTCAAATATTCTGACATTGACGAGCGGTGACAGACCAATGAGGCTCAGATGAACACACATGAACACACACACCCTGTCCTGTGTTTCTGACGTGCTCTCTGTCTCTGCTCGGCGCCGCTGCGGAATGAAGAGGAAGAACGCGCTGAATCTGATTATAACAAGAAGTTTGATGATTGGTTTTTCATTAGGCTATTTTTGGTGCCCCCTCAGCACTTGGTGCCCTACGCACAGCGCGTGATGCGCGTGGTGGGAGCGGCGGCGCTGGCCGTGCCTGCAACACGCCCTGGTTCGCTTCGGCGATGAAAAACCAGATTATATCAGCCCATCGAGCTATATTTATAGCCCCAGGCCACGCCCGCTTTTGCGGGAGGTGACGTAGTGGGCGTGAAGCGCCCCCATTGGATCTGACGTCACCAAGGGCCTCTCTCGATAGGCTGCTGCAGTTGCCGCAGGACAGCCAATAGGCACGCGAGCCGTCTTGCCTATGTATGCATGCTGCCGCAACGCGTTTTACATTAATTCAAAATTAAGGATAATTTTTGGCTTCAATATCTCGTGGAAAAGAGGTTTTGGGAAACACACCCCAGAGTGACAAGTATAAAGTGGCAAAGCATTTAAATTTTTTTCACACAGCATAATTCCTCTTGTTATTCAAAGCAAAACTATACTCCAAATTATAAATCAAGTCAGCGTTCTTACACTTTTAACCAAGCTTTATTTTTTTCTACTTTGACATTCTGCCATAAAATAAGCTTGAGAGCATTCTCAGCAACACTCTGTATTATATGAGTTATTTTAATCGGATGTGGCCTATTCCCTTCATTATCTTACACTGTTTTTTCTGCAATGTAGGATTTGTTTTCTTTCACAGTCTTTTAAAAGGCATCCTTGTTTAATTGTCCCATGAAACACTTCTTTTTGTTGTCAGCTAGAAAATTATTCTTGGATGAGACTAGTTATTTACCACACTCTGTCCTGTTCTTTGGCTGAATTAAGCAAAGCAGATGTGAGAACAGTTTGCAAAGTTTGGCAAGAGGAAAAACAAAGTTCCTAATCTTGGAGAGTAAAACAAGCCTTGTCTTCAAACTTCTAAAAAGTTCAACCATTGAACACTCTCTTGCTCTCACTCTCTCTACTTGAAGCGAGCAATACTGCTATGATATGACAATTAGGACTACTTCAGCAAGGCTGCATTAAATTGATCAGAAGTGAGAGTAAAGACATTCGATACAAAATCAACATTAATTCATATCAATTCTGTTTTTTTGTACTTTCTATAGTTTCCACAAAAATGGTTCTATAAGCAGAACAACTGGTAATAAAAAAATATTTCTTAAGCAGCAAATCAGCGTATTAGAATGATTTCTGAAGGATTATGTGACACTGAATACTGGAGTAACAGCTGCTGAAAATTCAGCTTATTAAAAGCTTATAAAAGGAAAAAAGTTTATTCTTTACATGGTGAAATATTTGTGTGTGTGTGTGTGTGCAGGGTTAGGAATAGTGTAAGGGCAAAAGAATATACAATTTGTACAGGTATAAAAATAATTATGTCCAAAATGGAAAGTCTGAAGCATGAAAACACAACACATTGCTGCTAAATAATTGGTGAGCCTCAAGTGCTGCTTAACTCAAATATCAACGCTTTTCTACTTCCTCCAAACGGCTTTGTGGGTTTTATTAAACCAAACAGTTCCCATAAACACTCAAGCTCCTGTGAGCATTAGACCCCATTGTATAATTTGTGCTGACATTTATGCTCATTTGTATTCAATTGAAAGGGAATGAAACTTCAAAATAACTCAAAGCTTCTCTGAGTGGAAGCATTAACATCTGATTAAGACTTATATATGGTGAAATTAACCTAAAACACTTTTAGCACTTCTACTTCCCTATGATTAGAGTAGGCTACCATCAACAAAGTACAAATATAATATACATACAATATAAATACAAATGGTGTAAATTCACCAAACACTACACAAGATCAATGTTGCAGACTGAAGAAACTCATTTATTTCTCAACACGCCCAAAATGTTGACATGGAGATTCATAATACTGTAACAAAATGTCACTTTACGTATTGTACTATAAGGTTACTGTAAAAAAATAAATAAAAAAAAGGTAGACATTGTCTCTTCGCCTAGCTGGATCTGGCCAGAGAATTTCATCAACATCGCAGGCAATGTTGTCATTAGCAAGACACCTTGGAAAGAAACGTCTTGAATGGCGAGTCCATCCTTGCATTGCTGCTACCTCCAGGTCACAGGCCTACTCCATGGCTTGGATGAGGGATACCTCAGCCTGGAGACGGAGATCATATACCTTCCACCGCCATGCCGAGAAAAACTCTTCAATAGGGTTGAGGAATGGAGAGTATGGTGGAAGATATAGGACGGTGAAATGTGGATGTTGCTGAAACCAGTTCTGAACCAGAGCAGAGCGGTGGAAAGACACATTGTCCCAGACAACAATGTATTGCATATGATCGATTTGATTTGCTGCTGTTATGTTGTGCAATTGGTCCAAGAATGTAAGTATGAGTGCTGTGTTGTAAGGGCCCATATGGGCATGGCGGTGGAGGACCCCATTCTGTGTAATGGCTGCACAGAGTGTTATATTACCCCCACGTTGCCCTGGGACATATAGCCCTGTGGCCAATGATGTTTCTTCCCCTCCTTCGTGTTCTCGTCAGGTTGAACCCAGCCTCATCTACGTAAATAAACTCATGCTGGATCTACTCTCCATCCATTCGTAAAACTCTCTGAAGAACAGTGTCAGGCAAAATTGTGTAGTTCAGTGTAGATCTAGTATACATATTACAGTACAGTAAAATATTATGAGACAGTATGCAAGATCACACTGCTAAAGTGAATACATACCTCTGCATAATCATGCCGCAGTCGTTTCACCCTTTCGGAATTGCGCTCGAAAGGTACTCGCTAAATTTGCTTCATTTGAATATGTTTTTTTTTAGGATGCGTGCCAGTGTTGATGTTGAGACCTGATGGATATCGTTGAAACTGGCGTGGTTATTGACAATGTTAGCTTGGAGCTGATTGAGTGTTATAGGATTGTTGGCCAAAACCGTGTTTACTATCTCCCTCTCTTGCTGTTCTGTGAACATAGGAGGCCTTCCCCCTTGTCGTTCCTGACCCTCAATCCTACGTAGAAAAAAAAAAAACAGTATACAATAGTACAGTAATTTCACAGGAAAAGGTAATAGAAGTGCTGATAGTGCATAGAATACAGTACTGTAAGCAGTTACTGAAACCGTGCAGAAGTTTTTGATATGATTATATTTTTACAATACCTCTTTTCCAGTCGAAATGTTCTTATCACACTTGCCACTGTGTATCGGCTTAGATTTGGCTGTACTCGCAGTCCAGCCTCCCTCAGCGTCAGGCCGTGGTTGACAATGTGGTCAACCAGTGTTGCGCGGATCTCATTTGTCAGATTCGGTCCTCTTTGAGCACCTTCTTGTCTTCCTCTTCCTCTTCCTCTTCCTCTACCTCTACCTCTACCTCTACCTCCAGCATGGCCTCCATCTCTTCCTCTTCCTCTGTTGATTCCTCCTCTGTTGATTCCCCTTCCTCCCCTTCCTCCCCTTCCTCCCCTTCCTCCCCTTCCTCCTTGTCCTCCTCCTCGTCCTCCTCCTCGTTCTCCTCCTCGTCCTCCTCCTCGTCCTCGTTTTCCTCCTCGTCTTACTCTTTCTCTGACTCTTTCCATTGTGCTTGAAGACTGATGAACACTGCTGCTTTTTATAGTGCTCATACACCTGATTGGTGTGTCTACAATTAAGCAAACAAGTGTTTGCACACCTGATGACTGTGTTGAACCAATTGGTTGGACGGTGCGGTAATTTGCCAGTCAGTGCTTTGGTATTGCAAGGAAGTGACTTTATGATAGATTTTTGTGTGTAATGTATGTTAAGTGTGTTTAGTGTTTTGCAAATCACTGTGTGTAGAGTTTTGCAACAAGTGTGAGGTTGACAATGTGCTTGTAGTTGTGCAAATATGGGCTGATGTTTTGCTTCTTGAGTGTAAGGTTTTGCTAATAGTGTACTACTTTTAATTTTAGTGTGTAAGCAATCCAAAAAACTGTAAAATGCCATGCAGACACTTCCTGTCTAAAGTGGCATTCAGATTGATTTAAGACAAAGCAACCAGAAGTCATACATTTCCAATAAGAGTTGATATGTCCGGCATCATGACAATGGCAAAGGTTAGTTATACACAATGTGAGAATGTCTGGGATACAACAAAGCTGTCGTATGCAAATGAGCAGCAGCGACCAATGGGAAGAGACAAGTGTGGGCAAGACAGAGAAATGAGTGTTACTGAGAGCCATTTTATTGTTCTATATGATTTGGCTCAGCCCACGTACAATAATATAATAAAAAATGCATGAAGAACATCTCAAACATTGTCAGCGTTCTGAGCAAGTTTGATTCATGCATTGATAATCATTCATCTTGTTCATTACATGATTTGCATTATGTTCTGCTGTGATTTTTATGCAAACAAATAAATGACAAAAATACAAACTTTAATCTTATTCTTACCTGCTATTTTATAATCAGATTTGCAAAGCTATTGCCAGTTAAGCAACCTAAAAATAACGTTAGGGCTTCCAGCAGAAGGAATACCTTCACTAAAAATGCAGAAACCTGGTGACTTCCGATGATCAAATCACTGTCAGTGTGGATGTTCTCGGCCAGAATCAGCTGAAATCTGAACCAGACTTCATACTGTTAGCCAAAAGTGGTTATGCAAGGCTACCTCTAATCCAAACCTACACATATACAATCAAATGCTACAATGCATCTGGATTACAGTGGTACTGAGATGTTTATTACTTCTTGCTTATCATCCAAAATTCTGTGCAAAATAATAATAAAAAATTAAATAGATTACACACTCATGGACCACACTCTCTGTCTGTCTCTCTCTCTCTCTCTCTCTCTCTCTCTCTCTCTCTCTCTCTCTCTCTCTCTCTCTCTCTCTCTCTCTCTCTCTCTCTCTCTCTCTCTTAATTCAATTCAATTCAATTCAAATGAGCTTTATTGGCATAACTGTGTAAAATAGCACAATATTGCCAAAGCATTAGACATTTACAAACATATACGTAGATAAATAAAAGTGAATTTTTTCCCCCATATTATACATAAATACATCACAATAAAAATAAATAAATATATAAAAAATAAGTAGGCTACAGAGAGCAGTTTAAGGGAAAAAGAGGGTTCAGCCCTTGTTCCTCATATGATGGCAGGAAGACACATATTGCGCTGCCAGGTGAATACATTCTTCTTTCTCTCCCAAAATATAAGACAGTTTGTTTATGAGGCTTGCTTGTTGGAATTGAGGTGAAATCTGTGCTATTTATGTGAAATAAGTGTCTCTGATGTTTTTATACTTGCTGCACTCGGTGAGGAAGTGCAGCTCGTCCTCTACGACTCCATCAGAGCAGTGTGAAAACAGTCTGGGCTCTCTGGCTCTCCAGCTTGTCTTGTGTCGGCCCGTCTCCACACACAGACTGTAGTCACTAATGCGATACCTTGTCAGGAGTTTTCTCTGACCATAATTACTAATATTGGTCAGGTATGGTGTCAATTTATATTATCAGACTTTATTTAGTGGAAGTATTTTAATTTATTTAATTGTGTGACCTTTATCTGCCAATCGTGAATGTATTCTTCTTTGGTTATTTTCCCTATTTCTTTTACTTTTGAGTGTCTGAACTGAATTGTTGAATTAAGTTTATGTTTTTCCACTAAATATTGCATGGGGTCGCTCTCTGTGTGTCCTGCCCTGTATCTAAGAGCACACTGATGGTAGCTCTCTGTCGGCGCGCAAACCAGATGGATTTCAGATAGGAGAGGGAATCTGCCTAATTCTGCCCTTGCAGAACTCCAGGTGGAAAATTTCAACAGGGGTTTTGTCCCAGGATTCTCTCTCTCTCTCTCTCTCTCTCTCTCTCTCTCTCTCTCTCTCTCTCTCTCTCTCTCTCTCTCTCTCTCTCTCTCTCTCTCTCTCTCTCTCTCTCTCTCTCTCTCTCTCTCTCTCTCTCTCTCTCTCTCTCTCTCTCTCTCTCTCGAGGAAAACCAGTAACAGTCTACCTTCAGATCAGCCAAGCAGGTAACTGTCAATCAAAGCAGTTCATGATGAAAGAAACCTTCCTTTTATCTGACTGATCTCAACTTTTCAGACACTTCCAAAATTATTTTCACATCCCTGACACACCTACTGAAAAAGAAGCCTGATCATAGCATACATCCATATTTTCGTAGCTAGACGAGAGAAGACAAAAAGATTTGGATGATGTTTTAGATATGACTTTGCCAGAGGAAATGCTATAAGGGTCTGACTTTTGAAGAGATCACCAACTCTGCCTTCTGTTCAGTCCTTTCATCTTTGCTATGATCTACTATGAATGTCTCTCTCAGGGTACCTCATTCATAAAATGCATTTCTCAAATGTGCGTACGTGTGATTCAGAGAATGAACGTATGCACAAAAAACATGCGTACGCCTCTCTTCCAGATGTGAAATCTATAAATCACAAATGATCTTGAAATTATGCTCAGCTGAATGGGTTGATCTTGCTGCCTAATTAATGTTAACATATAAAATAGAATCAGTCAATGTCCAAATCCTTTACTTGAGAATGGCGAGCTGCAAGAATTGCTTAGATTTCCAAATACCTGCAGTACATGACTCTCTGCCACAAGGAACAGTGTGTACGTCCTTGACATAGCACTAAGGCCTTTTCCATGTCTGGAAACATGTCTTTCCATGTCTTTTTTACATCTGAACGTTGGCATGGATTTTAGCATACGCACACTCTAAGATCAAATCTGTGTGTAGGTCATGCACGTTTTATAAATGAGGCCCAATATGGGGTTTTCCCATGACCCTCAAATAGACCTTTAAATAATATTAAAATCAATGCTTGAAATGCCACCTACATAGTATTTAATTATATCACACATATTTTAAATTATGTAATAAAGTATCTTTTTATGTTTACACATGCACAAACAGCTGAATCTGTGCAAGCTCTTTTCTTAACTGATTTCTATAACATATTTAAGATCTCATTCATGATCTTAGAAACAAACTTGAGTTTGATGTTAATTATCAACAATTAAATACCTCAAATAATAAAAAAAACACAGAAATCACAGGTTAACCCTGGCCACATTGAATGCTGTCACAGTCACCAGCTCAGTCACCAACTCTGTAACCTGTCTGCACTACACTTCCCAGCATCCCTTCTGGTCCCCACCTGCACTCAGTCAGCCATCACCACACCTGCTGCTGATCATCACCAGATACTGATTCCCTGCACCTCCACTCCCTCATCAACACAGCCTATATCAACCTGCATCACCCTCACATCAGGGTCTGCTATACGTAAACAGTCAGACTCCTTACCTGAACGCGCACCTGAGATCATCAAGTCTCCTGTCCGTCGTCCCGATCCAAATCCAGATCTCCAGTCATCGTGTTCATCCGTCACCTGCACAGAGTTTCCACTTCAGTCATCACCTATCCTCAAGTCACCATCCTTTCACCATCGTCTGGTTCCCGCTGTTGTCCCATCACTCTGCTTTTACTTTAGCCCAGCAGCAAACCATTTCACCTTACCATCTGTCTGTTCCCTTCTGTGAGTGTGACAAATGCTTTGTTAGTCAGAGCCATCTGAACTGATTAATTACACGGAAGTGAATTCTGTTGACTAAACATAATTTATTCTCAGCTGGTACTGTACTTTTGCAACATTGAGTCTAAGTCTAATTGATATTGTGGTTGCATATTATACTGGTAAAACCTACAATCTATTTGACTACTGGTGAATTCAGTAAAAAGCATATCTTATTCTTTTTTTGTTTGTTTGTTTATTCCAAAAAACTCTTAAAGGGATACTCCACTTTTTTTGGAAATAGGCTCATTTTACAACTCCCCCAGAGTTAAACTGTTGAGTTTTACCGTTTTTGAATCCATTCAGCCGATCTCCGGTTCTGGCGGTACCACTTTTAGCAGTGAAGTTTCTTGATTATTACGCAGGAATGAGAGTATATAGTTCCTAGCCATATCAGCCTAGAAAATCGCAACTTTACATTTTCCGTCGGTCTTAGTGCACGATGTAACTACAGAAGAGTCAAGTTTTAAATAGGAAAAATATCGAAACTCTTTGGTCATTTTTTTTTTTTAGAAATGCTAATGGTCTTGTCCACTTCAATGATGTATGCTAAGCTATGCTAAAAGTGGTACCGCCAGAACCGGAGATCGGCTGAATGGATTCAAAAACGGTAAAACTCAACAGTTTAACTCTGGGGGAGTTGTAAAATGAGCCTATTTCCAAAAAAAGTGGAGTATCCCTTTAAAGAACATTTTATACTCCAAGCTAGATCTATAGTTTTCAGTTGGATGTAACCGTGAGATCATTAGCTGCAGCCATATGGACCAAACATGTGTTCTTGGCGGCTAGTCTCTGAAATTATGTGATGTGCTTTTAGACTGACAATGACTGTATAAGGAAAATCAGTTAAGAAACCGTTACATAAGTTCCTGTGTAATGTGTGTCCTGTAGAAAACAGTGCCCTGACCTTTTAAAAACATTCTCTGTGGGCAGTTTA